GCGGGATGGGCAGGGAGAAAACAGTAACAATGAATGAATGGAATTCCAAAATCTCTGTAGATGTTAAAAAAAAAAAAAGGCCGTTGATGAGTCTTCCTACAATCCTGATACCAGATTCTTCTTTATAAATGATCTGTTCAATATATAGATTGAAAAGGTATGGAGAAAGGATATATTACTGACATCTCCTTTCCTGATTTTGAACCACAGTTTCTTTGTTCTGTTCAGACAAATTTCCTGGTCTAGGTATATGTTTCACATTAGCACAGTCACGTATTCTGAGATTTCCATTCTTCTCAATGCTAACCACAATTTGTTGTGATGCACACAGTCAAAATGCCTTTGCACAGTTGATAAAACACAAAGAGACATCCTTCTGAAACTCTCTGCTTTCAGCTAAGATCCATCTGACATCAGCATCCCTAGTGCCCTGGGCTCTTTTAAACTCTGCTTGTATTTCTGACAGTTCTGTCAGTGTACTATTCTAGTACTATCTGGATAATCTTCAGAAATATTTTGTTTGAATTTACAATTAGCAAAATTTTTCAATAATTTCCATTCTGTTGGATCACCTTTTTTAGGAATGGGAAAAAATATGCCATCTCTTCCAGTCAGTTGGCCACATAGCTGTCCTCCAGATTTCTTGGCACAACCTGATAAGTACATTCAAGACAATTTCAATTTCATGACTAACTCAGTAAGACCACAACTTAAGAAATGCAGGCATAACTAGGCTAAGAAATCTTATTAAGGTGGCATAGGTCTGTGTGGCTGAGCAGTTCTTGAACTCAAGTAATAAACCTGTTATATTTCAAAAGGGAGATCTGGTGGCACAGTTCACAGGGAACTGTGCGACTCACCCAGTGGTGGTGCCCTTTGGTAGTTTGAATCTACCAGTGGCTCTGCACAAGAAAGATGCGGAAAACCTGATGGAAGGTCAGTTATGAGGCAAGACCCACTCTAAGGCAATGAGTAACTCAAAACTCAAACTCACTGCCAGTGAGTTGGAATTAGCTCATAGCTGACCTCCAGCAGGTTTTCCAAGGCTGCCTAGCTGATGTTAACAATTTCGTTTTACTTAAATCCATAATCAACACTCAAACAAAACCGCAATCGTCAAGAAATCAAAAGATGTGTCGCACTGGAAAAACCTGCTGTCAAGAACCCCTCCAAAATGTTGAAAAGAAATGATAAAGACTTAAGTGTGTTTATACAAGCCATGGTATTTTCTGGTACTTCCTATGTATCTGAAAGTTGGGGCAATGAATAAGGATGAAGGCCAGAAGAATGAAGGCCTTTGAATTGTGGCGTTGGAGAAGTGTACTGAATATGCTATGGACTGCCAAAAGAAAAGGAAAAAATCTGTCTTGAAGCAAGTGCAACTTGGGTGCTCCTTAGAGACAAAGATGGTGAAACTGTCTCACATACTTGGGTATGTTGTCAGAAAGGGTCAGTCCTTGGAAAAAGAAATAAAGCTGAGAAAGATGGAGGGTTAGAGAACGAGAGGAAGACCCCCATGAAAATGGATTGACACTGGGACCTTGACAAAGGGCTCAAGCCTATCAGATGGTGACGACGGCATAGGAGACAGCACACACGGTTCAGATCCGTAGTTATAGGGGCACTTTGAGTTGAAGTTGCCATGATGGCACTAAACAATACAACCAAGAAGAATGGATGTGGCAGGTGTATTGAACTTGGCTTCAAAGCCCCAGTACTTTGGCTTTTCTTTGCTTTCCTTGACTTAATTGCTTTTATATGATATTGCTAGAAAATGCATGGCAGATGGGGAACTGAGTTAAGATTTAGCAGATTAACCTACTCCATATTCTTCACGGATCTCTCAAGACAGCAGGTAGAATATACCTGCAGGATAATCAAGTTGCATGCACTGCACAGATCTGTCAAGCCACGGTGGTGATGCGTGTTTGTAATGATTTAAAATTACCTTATTAAGTGGTAAGGGATTTTGAGCTGGGTTAGTTGGCCGATTGGGGCTCCCGTTGTTAGTGCTGTTAGTTGCATCCCAGTGAAAGTGGTCCGGGGAAAGGAGGTCCGCAAGTTTACCTGCGGCCAGCACGAAGGCCGGGACACTGTGGAAGCGCACGGGGCCGCTACTGCGGCCACCCTCGCACGCTACAAAAGCGGCTACTAGCCCACAAGGGCAGTGGATGTTCACGCGGGCCTCGCGCGCGCCTGAAGGGGGCGCAGGCACCAGCCCAAAGTCGAGAGCGAAGCGGCCCAGCGCCAGGACTGCATGGCCGCACATGGAGCTGTAGCCTTCGTTATGCAGAAATAGGACGCCTAAGTGCGCGTCCGGCAGCTCGCTGGGCACTAGGATGGCTCCGTACATGTCGCGATGCCCCCGGGGCTCGAACATAAGCCGCCGTCGCACGTGGTCAAGGTGCTGGCGCATGTACCGCCGCTTAGCCAGCAGCGTGGGGCCAGCGACCTCTGGACACCCCTCCAGCACGATGCGCAGCGGCTCACCGCCCGTGTGCATGTCCACCACCGACAGCGCTGGAGTCCTCGCGTCGTGTGGGGGCAACCAGGGCACAGCCAGGGATCTCTCCATTGTCTGCACCCGAAGTCTCGATCTCAATAGTCCCCACTCACAGCTTAAGCCCCAGACCCACCCGCGTAACTAGAGAGAGAGCTCGTACGTGTGACGCCCTCAGGGGCGGGGTCTCGGAGCCCAGACCCAGGAAGCGCCACTGGGGGCGGGGCTTGAGGGCCGTCGCCCCGGTTACCGGGAGGCGGGGCCGCAGTGGCCCGGATGTCCGGACGGTGTGGCGGCGTCTCCGGGTTTCAGAGCTTCCCTGTTTTTATAGGGAGCCTTCCTGTGGCCAATGGGTGAGTGGTCGTCGAGGTCCCGGGTGGTTTTGCCTTAGTTTTCCCTCCGGTCGCCCTTCCTCTGAGTTCGGCTCCCGCTGGGGCGGCTTCGGCTAGCGCGCGTCCTCGCCCCTCGCGTATTGCTGAACCCGCTGGTGGGCGTGGGCTGCTTAGGGGAAGCCGGCTGGTTGCCGCAGAAAAGGCTGATCCTTTGTTATTGATTTGTTGTCAGTTCTCGTTAAATGCTGAGGAAACACTCCTGAGGATAGATTTCAAAATTAAGAGCGCATGCGTGCAGGTAATAGCGGACACAAGTGCAGAATTCCTATTGGCTTTAGTTTGTTGTCCTTTGAGTCGACGAGGAATCTTAGCGACCCTATGAACAACGGATCTGAGCCCGTAAATTCATGGGGCCTTCCACAGTGGGACAAGACAACTGCAAAAAGGAGGAAAGACCTAAAATTTTTAGTTAATCGTTGTCTTCAGAAGGACATGAAGGGAAATTGAGTGACGCAGGGAACCAGGATTCTGTTCTGTTGATGATGAGCTGCAGCTTTCAGTTTATCATCCAGGTGTTCACACCCTGAATTTTTAGAAACTTTAGATTAAATCAATATATATTTATTCAGCACGCGTAGATTTATTGGCCATAGAGAAGCGGCTGTTCATCCTTTAACCTCGCCTGCTTTGTCAGAAAATCTGAACCACGATTCTTTTTCATGTGTTAGCTTGAGGCATTGTGATTACAGCTGGTTTTAGGAGGAGTGGGGGAAAGGCCAAATAAGACAGAGACTCCTATGGATTTTTAAAAAGTCCAATTCTTTGGAGATAGTAAATTTGTGACTTGTTAATCAGAGCTTTTTCTGAGCAGAGCAAAGAGAAAGAAATGAAATGTCCAGTTGGCATGTGAAAGCAGGAAGGGTGATGTGGGCTGAGGTGTTCCAGAATGTGAATTCATGAAGACTTTGGGAAATGAGTGTTCAAGAACATATAATGGAAATTCTTTTCCACGTTACTTTGCATCTTGTTTTGCATGCATTCCGCATTAGGCTGTAGTTTTTTGAGAGACTGTGTATTCCTCTGAGGATATTCAGGGGTATCTGGCTCTCAATACAAGTTTACTGGATACATGGTGAATGAAGGAAATCAGAAAGCATTCATTGCTAAAAGCTCTTTTAGTAGCATCCTCCTGTTCATAAGGACAAAGACAATCTGTAACCCCCTGGATTTTTTTTCCATGGGACTGGGACAGAGAATTTAAAGGTGCTTACCAAATCTTGAGATCAGACTTTTGGTTTTAAGGCTAAAACCGGAATTCAAAGCCACTGCCTTTGAATTGATTGTGACTCAAAGCAACCCTCTTTCTGGTTTTTGAGGTTATAAATCTTGATGAGGGCCAAGTGCTTTATCATTCTTTCTCAGAATGGCTTGTTACCAAGGGAGGACTGAAAGATTGTTGCCTGTCCCTGATAAGAAGAGGCCAAGGTGGTAGTTGTGTTCACACAGGAAGATTTTCCTTTTACTTGGAGTGTGCAGGAGGAGACAGCAAGGTTGAGCTATGTAAGCTCTTGTCCCCAGGCTTGTCCAGGGGGAGACCCCAATATGGGAAGGTGATGTTTAAGCCTGAGGACTGTGGACTTCATGGCATGTTGGGACAGTCTTACTGAACTTAGAGCAATCCTGTTTCACTAGAAAAGGATGGATAACGTTTTCCTTGGGTAGCTTTGGTTCATCAGTGGGTAAGCAGAAAGCATTCTAGAGTTGGTTGGTGGGTTCTGCAAGAGCACTGAAAGGAAAGTTAGCAAATTTAGGACAATTTTTAGAACACAAGAGATGAGTTCGATTTTTACATCTTTCCTTCGGTTGCTCTTTTATAGTCTCTCTGACGTCTGTTTCTGTTTTACCCCTAGCTTGTTTCACATTAGAACTGTTGACCTTTTTTGGTTAGCAGCCCAGCACATCAGGGAATAAGTTTTAAAGTTTCTGGTGGTTGTTAATGTGCTGTCAAGTTGCTTGCGACTCTGAACCCTGTTCTGCTGTGATCCAGTGTTGTTGCTGTTATGTGCCATCGAGTTGATTATGATTCATAGTGACCCTATGCTCAATAGCTCTGAACCCGCTCTAGCCTGAGCCCATCTTACTGTCTCTGACACACCTACCCTTATTATCCTAGTTGTGTCAATCCATTTCATCCGAGTCATCCTCTCCTGCACTGCCCCTGGACTCTTCCAAAGACTGGTCCCTCTGGCTCCCCAAGTGTGTGAGACGGAGCTTCAAAATCCTTGCCTCCAGGGAGCAGCTTGGTTTCACACATCCCAAGACAGACTTGTTAGTTCTTTTGGCAGTAGTAGCACTCAAATACTGACCAGAGGCTCAGTGACATCTCTTGACAAAATTGTCAGCAGTCCTCCACAAATACGAAGTTTGGTTAATGTGATAACCTTTTCATAAAAATGAAACACTTTAGTACTGTGGTATCAGTTCATAGTGACTGACCCTGCATTGCATTTGTGAGATTGTAATCATTTACAGGAGAAGGCTGCTGATCTTTCTCCCCTAGAACAGGAGGTGGATTTGAACTGCTGATGAATGTTTAGAGTTAAGCCACTTTGGTCGTTTCATAAAGGTGGTTGTATTTAAATACCTATTCTTTATTATGAAATTATGTCCTCTCTGCCTTCCTAATTAAATTTCTGTCATGAGAGGCAGTGATGATAGATTCTGTGTTGACAGACAGTGATGCTCTTGATCATTGTTCAGCTGAATTTTTAAATAGCTTTATAATCAGTGAACCTCAAAAGTCTGAAATTCTAATGTAGAGGAGACATATAAAATCAGATTTTTGTGTTCTAGAAATAGATTTCACTCTACAGGTTGAACAGTATTAATAAGAAGGTTGTGATATAATACTCTGCAGTATCACAGTGTTAAAACAAAGATACAAGTTTAATCTAGAGTTCTGGTGGCCTAGTGATAAGAATTTGCACTGCAATCCCAAAGACACATAGTTTGAATCCACCAGCTTCTATGTTGTAGAGGGATGAGCATTCTCCTCCTGTGCAATTTACTGACTCTGAAAATCCACTGTAGGGTCAGCATGAGTTCCGACTTGACAGTGCACAACACTTAACCTTGTTGTTGTTGTTATGTGCCATCGAGTTGCTTGAGACTCATAGTGACCCTA